GTGTATACAGTATACCCTTTGAGAACCAACAATTAGGTATTGAGAAAGAGTATATCGGAGTAACCAGAAGAAACCTGAAAGTACGACTAAAGGAGCACAAATATAGTATAAATAAAAAACTGAATAGTACGATATTAGCAAGTATGGCACAGGCAGACGGATCAGTAGTCAAATGGGATGAAGCCAAGATTGTTAGGACGGGACACTCACCTTCCATCGCAATGGAAATGGAGAAAATAGAGATTTACAGAAGTAAGATGAGGGACAGATGCCTAAATGCAAAAGATGCAAAAGCATTACCAACGGCTTGGAAATATAAAATTGAGAAAAATATGGGTTTTAATAATCCATAAACATTTTCATGTTCTGGAGTTTTTAGTATTTCAAACTCAAAGTTATAAATTTTCTTTTATTTTATTGTTAAATTGAAACGCGATTTTTAGATTACATTTTATCATATATTTAGTTTAATTTATTTATTATACATAAAAGTTGTAATAAGTTCAAATTCAAACGAATTTCGAACGAATGATTCCATTACAACGAAAACTATTAAAACCTGAAGATGGCCTATACGAATTGGCCGAAAACGTTTGGAATAAACAAAAATAACTCGGCAAAAAATTCAGGTGTGTGTGATTTATTATTTTTTTTTTATGTAAATGCCACTACATAATACAGTTGTATTTATTTACCAAAACAATTGACATTTCATTTTTATATGGAGAATATACAAAAATAACGTCAAATTGATGTAAACATATTTGCTATTCTAACAGTAGAAATGCATACTAGGGTGAACAGGTAATAGTTGATATTACGAAAGATGACGCAAATAAATTAGTTTAAACGAAATATTGTTTATGGCGATATGAAATTTTCACTTACAAAAGAAAATGTCATTATTATTTAAAGTATTCAAGGTACTGAGCTTTTCATAAACGAATTATATTTGAAAAATTTTTTTCCTACCGTTTACAAAATAAATCAAACTTTTCGCCATTTATTTAATGAACAGATAATACTGTACATAAATTTACTCTAATATGAATCGAGTCTGTTTAGAATCTTTCTCGGAAAGCTGCTTGTACATGGAAAACTTTTGTTGGGAGACCTACAGTACATGTTAGCTTGATGCGTGTTCATGGTTTCTGATACACAATATTTTTTAACTCTCCGTCCTGTGGGCACTAAGAGGGTCTCTTTTTGCAAGCCCACAATGGGGCTGCCGGATGGTGGGGGACGGGGCCCGACATATCCGAACGGACCACCCCCGAAAAATTCCTGGGGATTTTGCGACCCGTTCGGATTCGAGCCCGGGTCCCCCAGAGCAGTAGGATGCCACCTTGACCGCTCGGCCCCGGCCGCTAGACAAAGTGCTAGCAACCATATACTGGAACCACATTTTCCTTCTACCGTCAGTGGTGTATTTTCCAGAAAATCTATAAGCGTATTAACAAGAAAATCTTCAAATCGTTGTCAATTCAAAGGAATTAAATATAATTTGTTCTTCGGTTTTTTTTATCTCCAATGACATCACACCAGGTATTAATATTCCACGTGTACCGATTGTCCATTTCTCTAAGCCAGTATAGATCCTCTGCTGTCCATTATTGAACAATGTGGATATTAGCATCCCCGTTGTTAATGAATATCGTTTAATTGGACCGCAAAAAAAAAGTCGGTGGAAAAGAGAATTTCTGTTTAGCCTCCAATGACAGAACTTGACGCTATCCTTAAGATCAATGTCGCAAAGTTGAATTCTTGAAAATCGTTAATGAACAGTTAATAAAACTGTTACACTTGATAATTGATACACTGTTACGTAAAATTAATGCATTCCATTGTTATTCAAAATGCTTCAAACACTTGAACGGTTCATACCAGAATCTAAAGATATTTTTCAAATGAAATCATGAGGGTTAACCTAACTGCAGCTAGAGCATCTACCATTTTTCATATTTCTGACTTTCTGTTTAATATGTCGATAGCGATTCTCATACACAGGTCGCCAAATGTTGAAATACATAACGGAGTAATAAGTTAGATCTGGATTTCTTTGGGCGCAGAGACGTTCCGCAGCCCTGAAATGTATATTCATCCAATATCATTATGTCGAAAGCGCCTCCATTACTGTAAGACATAATTTTCTTGTGATAAGTGAATGTTTGTGAAATTACCCAAAACAAATAGATACAAAGACTGAAAGCTACAAAAGTCAACAGACAATCTATTATATTTTTTAATTAGCGAAACATGGTTGTTTATTATGTAAATGTGATTAGTAAATATAAGAAGTAAAGTTTGGTTTATTTTAACGGTATAAGATAAAAAATTTTTCTAATAAAGTTTTTTTTTTTTTTTTTACGAAAACCTATATCCAACGATATCCGATTCGACCGATGTTCCGATATGCAAATTAAGAAGAATCAGGGCCCACTGGTCCTATTTCTGCTGAGTTCTGATTCACGACAATGTCCTCAATCGATTTGGGCTTTAACCATAAAGTTTTTCAAATTTCTCGACGAATGGTTTTCAAGAAAAACATGTGATAAGGGCGTCCGAAACACACTGTGATAATGTTTTACTTGGTGTTCTAAAACAGTTGTATCCAAACTTTTCTTTTGCCAGGCCAAATTACGAATAAGTTGTAGATAGGTTGGTAAAATATACGTTCTTTGCTTCCCCATAAGAATTACATTTTAGAGCAAAAATTTCAATGGTTGCAAATTGAGATAATGATGATCATACAGTAGTTATGCATTTAGATGTGAACGAATCGTCATAATTTTTCTATGAATGTTTTAAAGACTATTCGCTATTATTATTATTATTATTATTATTGTTGTTGTTGTTTTATCCTTAATTACTTATTTTTAGCACTTTCTAAAAGCCACATTTCGTTTAGTTATCACTTATTAATGTTTTGAATTTATATATATATTTTTATCTTAATTTCTGATATAGATAACTGTATTGTTACAGCTAGTTTTTGTTTGAATACCTTTTTCAATGCTTGCTGTTTCAATATTCCCTCCTATCTGCTTTTTAATTTAATGAAATCACTCATTAAAACGTCTTTTTTTCTTACGTTTTCAATGATGCACTGTACTTATCTAACAGCATTACCATACAAACCAAACATCAACTAGTTTTGAGGTAATTAATTTTTTTTTCGTCGTTTTGTAACTCTTTTGCCCTGTGAGCACTACGAGATCTTATAAATCATACCGATTATGGATTTGACTAATCATACAATGAGGCGGCCGAGTAGCAAGCTCATCCTAAAGTTGCTCGCCCGGATACAATCCCGGATCCTTCAGAGCAATAGGATAACCAGAAACAACTCGTAGCGTTATTTAGTATCATGGTGTAAGAAATTAATAGACTGTTGATAATGCCATTTGCTAAAGGATAAATAAAGCGTTTCTCGAGAAACAATACCAACGGGAAATAATGACGTAAAATATAACTGAACTACCATTATTTGGCTAGCTAGCCACACGAAAACACACTTCAGGACATATCGACGTTCAGATATTAATAGCAAAGATACAGAAAGTATTCTCCTTCTTATTTCATAAAAATAATTAGACCTAATTGCTATTTAAAGATCGTCCGATTTCTGTATATTTTTATCCATAATAATAGTCTTTTTTTAAAATATATATTTAAGAAATGCAAAGCTGTCGATCTTAACTTCGCTATTCATTTCTAGCGTCAATTTAAATTTAGGAGGGAGGAGATCGCATCTATATGTATAATATAGATTCACAATAGATGCAGATTCACAATAGGCATGGATAAAATCAAGAATTTAATAGAATNTTTAAGAGACATCAATAGTATAAAAATTTAAAGCTTTTTGTGATTTTTTGTAGAATGACCTAAATTATGTAATCCAGTTTTTTTTTCCATTAAAAGATGTAACAAATTTGCAATATATTTTGTATGTTGAATGTTAGATTGGTATCATTATAATTTTGTTTGAAAGTGTGTTCATTTTTCTAAATTTTATTATTTTAAATCAAAATGCTCATTTTTTATTATTTTTCTCTACATTTTATTTTTATAAATTAAAATGCTCGTGTTTATTATATTATGGTAAATTTCAAATTTCTATTTTTCAAAATTAAGAAAAATTTGTCATCTGTTAGTGTGATAAATTAGGTGGAAATAGTTGTTTTAAAATGAAAAATTATATAAAGCTGAAATAAAAAGTTACATACAAAGTTGAATACTTACAATAGCTTTAAATTATAGGAATTTTATAGTTATAGATTTGTAATTTGTTTAAAATACAAAATAGATATCCTTAAAAGTATATTTTGACTTCAAGATTTGAAGTTTTGGAAATGTGCACTTCAAAGCAAAAATCAAAATTCCATTTATTTTGCAAAACAATTTTATTACTACAATTTTCAGATTTTGTTTAGTAGTAAAGGGACATCAGTGAATCTAATTATATAGTTGTTATTAAGATATTCATTTGAAAGTAATATATTTTATTTGCTAATTTTTTTGTAAATTTTTATCATAATCATTAGTGTGATTGAATCAATTATTTATTCAATCATAAGAACTAATTGGTGATTGATTTTTTTTTTTTTTTTACATCAGATTTTAGTGTATTTTAGAAAGTGGCAGGATAAGTTTAATTTGTATCAAAATAAAAAATTCTAAGCAATAGTTTTGCTAGATGATAAGCCTTAATTTTTTTTCCATGAGATATATTCATGAGATAAATATACATAATTACATATTTGTTAGTTATAATAAATTTGAATAAATGAATTCTATTTGTTATATTTCATAAATAAAAACTATGAAATGCTTTCAAGAAGTTACTTAACATTGTGCCTTTTGGAATATGTACTACATAAAAATGAGTTTTCATTGCTTATAATAACTGGGAATTGTAATGTTTTCATTATAAATATGTATCTCGTAAATGCATTTATATTAAATTTGTTTTGAATTACAGTATTGTATAGTTTGTTTTTTAAAATTCGTTTGAAAACAAAATATTAGTAACATTAGCAAAAATAGTGTCAACTTAGTTATTGAATTATAATTAGATTTACCTTAAAAATCGTTTTTTTTAAAGCTTCAAACTTTGTTTACTACTACGTTTGAAGCGTTGAAAATATCGATTTTCAAGATGGATACGCAAACATTTTGTATATATGTTACACATACATATAAAATGTAAATCACCACTACAAAATTATAAATGTCAAAATTCGAATTAAGAATGTCTTGACTATGTATGCAGTAAATTCTAACAAAACATGCGTCACCTGATAGTTACCAACAATAAACTGTAAAACATAATTACGAGAGCAATGTATGTAGTTTTTACATTACAAATTTGAATCTCTTTGAAAAAATCGGGTTCGTAATGGCCAAAGTTGATTTTTTTTGTTAGGATTCTTAGTTCTATAACATTGCTTCTTAAACTTTTTTTTATTCACGACCCCATTTGATTGTGATTTTTTTTTCGCGACCCCCCCCCCCAAAAAAAATATAAAGATATATACAAATTTGCAAAAACAATGGTGTACTACCACAGTTCACTCTTGTGTTACAATGGAACAGAGACAAATGAACACACTGAAAAGCGACAATA